CTGCTCTGCCTATGCAGTCATTGGGACAGCTAGTTCCAAGCTACAATCTAGCTCAATCTGAGAATGAAAATTTACTAATTCAGCAAGTTAGGAGCTGGTGTCGGTTCAAATTCTCAGCTAATTATTTCCTGAGCAAGCCTTATCAATGGAGAAAATATATGGTGGATGCTCCAACTTACCAAGGGTTTCATTTTCAAGGAATGATAAAGCAACAAATCGATGGTGTTGATAAGATGTTGCTATACTATCATCAAATCAGCATTGTATATTGCAGTGTTTCTGAAGATGTAGTGTATGATGTGACATGGACTCCTGTCATGCCAAGCAAATGGATCCATGTTGTAGCAATTGGGAGGACATGGCTATTATCTTCTTTTGCCCTGATAAATTTCCTAGAAGCTGGGACTGTGCAATTGGCAGTGAAGCTTGTGTATGTCAAGATTGCTGAGATGACAAGAATAAGATCCTGGGATCCAGGTATTGTCAATTTGGTTACTATAATAGCTTGCCAAATTTCTACAGAAGTGAAGAAGGGAGGGAGTGATACTCTTGATCTCAGCTCAGTTTGCAAGTACAAGAATGCTCATGATAGTATCCAAGTGGGCACAGTATCTAGCATTTCTCTATCACTGACCATGTTTGCTGTCCTTCCATACAGAAAGCTTGTGACTAGTATCAAGATCCCTAACTATAATTCTGGACAAATGGAGGTGCAATGCATCCACCAGAGTGCAAGTTTTGTCACTTCTATTGGCATGGAGTCGTCTCTTGTGGTTGCATTTTATGGATCAGCTGGTGCTTATGGATTAGCTCTTGATGATCACTTGCAGCTACCCTGGGATCTTGGAGGCACTGATCTTGAGCTTCAATTGCATCAACTTGGGGACAAGCTGATTTTTAAGGCGGGGAGAATGTCATGTAACTGGGCCGGATCGGTATGCATATTGAGTTTAGGGCTGGCTAGGCCCAATCCGCTGCGACAAGCCGACCACTCCAGCTACTACAAAAGGAGCAGAGCCAACAAATGGGGAATGGAACGGAACAGAACATATGAAACTTGACTTCTTCCTTCCGATGCTCTCTCTTCTTCAACCTCTGTATCTCTCTTCTCTTCTCCAATCTCTAGCTATCTCTTCTTCTCCAACCTACTGCTGATTCTCAGCCTTGATTCTATTTCCCTCATTTGTATCCCCAAATACTCATGTATCAAGTGTTGGAGGAAGAATTGTTTGCTTGTGCAGGAATTTACTAAATCACATGGAGTGGGTTCGTAACAGGTTCCCGTTAACATGCTTTTTAAACTACGTATTTCGTATCAAAACTTTTTATATAGAAGTTGATTTAAGATAAGTTTATTTTGTAATTTAGAATAATTAAAACTCAATTAATTAAACGTTAATATTTTCTCATTTCATATAACTATGGGCCTGTTCACTTTGATGCTATTTTCAACCATACCATTTTTTAGCAAAGTTGTTAAAAAAAGTCTACATTTAGTTTGTTGTTAAATTTGGTTAATACATAAGAAATCATGCAAAAAAATTTGATAATATTACATCTTGCCAAAATTTTAACATTACTAAAACTTATTAAGAGTTATTTTAGCTACAATCTAAAGATATCCTGTATATACTTAATCTTGGTCTGAAGCGCTACCGAATAGGGCCGATTAATTACGCAGGGTTTGGGGGCCTCACACAAGAATCGCGTGGGGAGTTGTTTATTTGGACAATCTAGCAAGCGGGACATTCGAGCGTCGGTTTGTCGGTTCCTTTTGGTGGCATGGGTGTAAATTGGATTCTCGTGCCCTACAATTAATTGATGATGACTTATTAGCATAGCTCCACAGGTAAGATATGCGCTCATAATATAACCATCTTACCGTTTAACCAAAATTGGTTTCATAATACGAAAGATCGCTAGTTTAGTTTTGTAGCACCCAAAAATCCCAGCTTATTTTAACAACACTGAAAATTAATTACCTCCGTTCTTCATTATAGCATTCCGTCCAAATCACAGTTAACTCTTACCACATTGCCGCTCTAGTTCATTCCTTCCTTCTTCCTCTTCTTTTTATTAAAGGAACCTCGCTCTTCCTTCTGCAGTTGCACGCACTAGCAGCTGAGCAGCAATTGCCCCGCTCCAGTAAAATTATCCCATGTCAAATTGATCACACTTAGAGCAGGTACAATAGCAGACTTTCAGCCAGCTATAAACATATTTTAATATGATAAAAGATGAGAGGAGAGTAGCGGCCTATAGATCTGTAGCCAGCTACAGCACGGATTTCAAGACGGAGTGTGTGTATGACATGTGGACCATATATTAATAGTATATTAAGCAACTATTGTATAAATTGGCTATTAGACTGGCTATAGATGAATTGGAACTAGTAGTGGGCTATACTATTAGGCCTCCTTTGATTCAAAAGAAATTCATAGGAATTTTAGAGGATTTTATTCCTATAAAAATTTTCCTATATAGCCCTTTGAATTAAAGGAATGGATCCTATGAAATCCTATAAAATTCCTATGGAATGCCTCTTCCCATGCAAGTTTTGGAGGAAATTTAACATAAGGTAGAATCTCTTGGTAACTTTACTTTGAGTCTATCTCTCTCATCTAATTCCTGTGTTTTTCCTACGGTTCAATCAAACGGTCATTCCTGTGTTTTTCCTGCATTTTGCAATCCTATGTTTTACACTTATATTCCTATAAAATCCTACGTTTTTTCTATTCCTACGTTTTCTCAATCCTGCGATTCAAATGGACCCTTAACCTTGCTCTTAGGCCGCCCAGTTGGACATACCTCGTGTGAAATTAATTAACTGCCCAAGTAAGAAAGAAACATAGACTACTGTGTTCTTTTAGGATAGTTGGGGACCTTCCTCTCTCGGCAGGTAAACGAAACAAAATATTAGCACATGATTAAATAAATATTAGCTAAAAAACTTAAAAAAATAAATTAATATGATTTTTAAAATAACTTTTCTATAGAATTTTTTTATAACAAATACAACATTTAGCTATTCAGAAAATATGTGTGTGAAAAATGAGAGAGTGAAAGTTAGGAAACGAAAGAAAAGAACACATACCTATGAGGTGCACCATCCAAAGGATCTGTAGGATTTAAAAGGTCTCAACATTTCAATTGTGATCTTCCTATTTCCATGTTTTCACCTTTGTTGTTTCAAAGGAGTTCCAAAAAATTCCTTGGATTGCAAAACTCCAAAGTTCCAATGGATAATCCATAAAGTCTCCACCATAGATAGAGATGCGTTCAAGTAGGTGTATGAGTGGTGACATTTTAATTACTGCACATGCATAATGGAAATTGTTTGTCTCTCGACAAAAACATCCCTTATTTTTACATATGCTACTATTTTTCTTTTACAGAAAAACTACCTAACAGGATCCCGTGGAGACGGAATAAGTGGATAACCATCCATTCTAATCCTTTCACTTCATGTCTCTCTCTTTCCCTAAGCCTCGCTTCAACCTTGTCGTCCTCTGCCGCTTCTCCTCTGCTCCTTTCTCCCTCTCTCTAACTTTTTTCTTCGTTCCTAGTAGGGTTGGGATAGGCATCCACAACAAGCCCTTCGACAAGGACGGGGCGGTGTCGGCGCTCACTATGCTAATGTCACGTCACCGATGGCGGCCATAGGGATCTCGCGTGCCTGGGGTCCAGGAAGAGATGCAACGAGTTTAAGGTGGGAGCTGAGTTAAGCTGTCCATCCTGGTGCCGCAAGCGATGTCCGAGACCATCACACTTGCGTGGGTATCGAGGATAGCAACAAGAAGGAATGGCACTAGCCTTTGTCTCTAAGGAAGGTAGCCATCTCATTTTCGCGCTTGCCTTTGCCTCCTTTCCCTTCTCCTTGTGGCTCTCATCGGTGTGAAGACCTGATAGCCATGAATCATACATGATACCCATAAGGTATTTGATGCCTAGGTATCGAGTCCCTGGTACCTAGATATTGAGTAACCGGTATCGAGATTGTTCGAATTGCTACCATAGGTACCAGGACAGATACCTCAGGTATCAAGGTACATTGTACCTAAATCGGTTTGATTATCATTGGTAGAAGACCGAGTACTAGGTATCAGGTATCTAGGTATATATATCAGGTACTTGGTACCTAGATCGATCTGATACCTATAGGCACTAGACCTGGTACTGGCTATCAGATACCTGGTACCTAGATCAGTCTAGTATCTAAATTGGCGCTGATGTTAGCATCATAACAATAGAAGTGGGTGTGTTGTGCCTCCAACGAGTAGATGTGTTCTGAAGTGTGGGCCCTTGTGAGGACACGAAGAACATGCACTGACGTGTGGAATCTCACGTGGGGATTTACATGAAGTTGATAAAATAACAGGAGTAGTTGGTTGGTCAAACAGTTACGCTCATTAAGTTATTCGATTAGGACGGGAGTCCATGTTATAGCCGTCCTTTTTTTTTAAGATAATCAATATGTGGCATACCACTTCATAAGCTTGCAAGTTATAATTTTACTTTTGCAAAAAGAATAAAATACTTTGATTGAACATTCAAAATTGTTTTTTTCTATTTATCTAGATCGAATTTGAATTTTCAATGTTTTTTTTAAAAAAATGATGAGCATGTATAAAACAAGGGATGTCCTCTCAAGAGAAAAAAAAAAGACTTCCCATGTATAAACAAAAAGCATATACTCCCTGACTTTGGACAAAGTTAAACTGTTTTAAGTTTGACTAAATTTATAGATAAATATAATAATATTTATAATACTAAATTAGTTTAATCAAATCAATAATTGAATATATTTTTATAATAAATTTATCTTAGGTTGAAAATATTATTAATTTTTTCTATAAACTTGATTAAATTTAAAACAGTTTGACTTTGACCAAAGTTAAAACGTCTTATAATCCAAAACGGATGGAGTAGAAAATTATTGTATGGGGACCTATGTACTACTATAAATAGCATGCATATATATGTACCACTGCACCCAACTACTAACAGGCAGCTGCCAGCCATGGCTTCCTCCCCGCCGTTTCGTCTACCTCTCGCCGTTGTGCTCCTACTCGCAATAATATGTGTCCTTTTGGCTTCTCCTAGCTGCCATGCGGACGATCTCACCGCCACCATGACAAACGAGCACGAGAAAGAGCATCAGCTGATGATGATGATGATGGACAGGTTCCATAGGTGGATGGCGACGCACAACCGGTCGTACGCCTCCGCCGACGAGAAGCTGCGGCGATTCGAGGTATACCGGAGCAACATGGAGTTCATCGAGGCGACCAACCGGAACGGCAGCCTCACCTTCAAGCTCGGTGAAACGCCGTTCACCGACCTCACCCACGAGGAGTTCCTCGCGACCTACACCGGCGACGTACGCCTTCCGCCGGAGCGGCGGGGGATGCAAGACGACTCCGACGAGGAGGATGCAGTGATTACAACCAGTGCTGGGTACGTCGCCGGCGCCGGCGCCGGCAGGCGTACGGTTGCGGTGCCGGAGTCCGTGGACTGGAGAAAGGAGGGCGCGGTGACTCCGGCCAAGCATCAAGGCCAGTGCGGTGCGTGCATTAATAGTTTTATTACTAGTATCAATTATCTGATTCTTCTTGTTAGCTTTAATTATTTTTATTAATCTATATGCATTTTTATGTTTATGTAGATAACTTTTTCATATAAATGAGGATAAAAAAAATTTTGTGACGAAAATGATAAAAAAAAATATAATACATATTTTTAATAAATTAGGATAAAATGTTGTTTGTTTCACAACAAGAGAGAGAAGGCATTAACTATGTGTGTTACTGGACAATTATATAGTGTTGAATAAAGTGATTAATAGGTAAGAAAAAAGTCAGTTAATTGAAAAATAGACAACCTTATTATTACACCGACTACATAATATATAATCGCATGGATGCATGGGATGCAGCGGCGTGCTGGGCATTTGCAGCAGTGGCAGCCATAGAGAGCCTGCACAAGATCAAAGGAGGAGATCTGATATCTCTGTCGGAGCAAGAGCTGGTGGACTGTGACGATACTGGAGAGGCCACCTGCTCAAAGGGTTACAGCGACGACGCCTTCCTGTGGGTGAGCAAGAACAAGGGCATCGCCAGCGACCTCATCTACCCGTACGTCGGCCACAAGGAGAGCTGCAAGAAGCAGCTGCTCGGCGTGCACAACGCCACCGTCAGAGGCGTCGTCACCTTACCTGAAAACAGGGAGGACCTGATCATGGCGGCGGTGGCCAGGCAGCCGGTGGCCGTCGTGTTCGACGCCGGTGATCCCTTGTTCCAAAACTACAGGGGTAATGGTGTCTACAAGGGCGGCACGGGCTGCTCCACCAACGTGAACCATGCCCTGACCATCGTCGGCTACGGGACGAACCATCCCGACACTGGGGAAAACTATTGGATTGCCAAGAACTCGTACGGCAATCTGTGGGGCGACAATGGCTTCGTCTACTTGGCCAAGGACACAGCTGACCGCACAGGTGTCTGCGGCCTCGCCATATGGCCGACCTTTCCCACCATTCGGTGAAACCGGCCACACAGACGAAAAGTTCGTTGTACTAGTTTATGTCTGTGGCTCAGGCTGATCGTATCGATGGATCATGGTGGCAATACTTGTAGCTGCATACATGTATATATGTGTCTATTTCACCCATCTATAGCTCCATCGTTTTTAAATTACTAGAATAAATAAAAGTCATGATGATCTCTCATCATGTGTGTTGTTTTACTCATGGAATCAGAAATAAAATTATAGAGAGAGTCGAATATGAGGTGTATCAGGGTTTGCTTCATTTTAGCAGTATTATTGTCCAAAACTCTTTGCAATTCACGGTGCAGGTTGCAATGTATGGATGATTCTTAATTGGAACATGCACCAGATAGGTTTGTGAATAATATCTAGGAGTACAAATTTATCAATTTACTTTAAGGCTGTTTTCAAGACACTATATTTTGGATTGAAATTTCTGATTTTTTTTTGTTTGGGAGCGTCTATTGATTTTTCAACATAGTTGGAACTTCGAATCTTGCAAAATTTTAACCAATGGATACATCCTGTTTTAAATGAAATGATAAAAAAAATGTCATAAGTCATAAATCTATAGAAAAAAAACAATTTTAAAATTTAATTTCAATGCATTGTAAGTGAATGTAAGTACTCCATAACAAAGTAAAAGTGCTCTGTAATTGTAAGTTGGATTAAAAAACACGAAGCTTTGATGCAACATTCTATGGATAAGAAAAATCAAAAGATAAGAGTCGAAAAATCTGTGGTAAATGAAATAGCAAAACCATTTTTATTTTCGCAATATTGAACCCTGGTTTTATTAGATCAAAAGCTGTGACAGCGAAAGCACAACTAGACAACTGATCAATCATTGAACCCAGAACTGATTGTCATGTGTCATGGTTTAGCATTGATTCTGGCCGACAGCAACAGCAGAAGCGCTATCTGTGTGATAAGGAAAAACCATATACTACAAATCACGAAAAACCATAGTGGTTTTCTACATGCCATTGTATTTATTTTACCAGTTTCATGAGTCTGTGGGTGAACTAAAAAGTAAAAGCTTTTGAATGGGAGGCTAAAAAATGCCAAGCCCATAATTGACCGACAAAATATATAATGGATTTAACTTTTTTCACTGGAAGTGAAACCTTTTTTTATTTTTTACTATAGCACTAACGCACAAAGTCTAAGGGCTTGTTAACTTGTTTGAAAATGGCAACGGAGTGAACAAACTCTAATCTCTAATTAGTCGTAGCAATGGTCTAATGGTTCTACACCCTGTCATAATAAGTTGGATGAAGATTCGGAAGGCATAATCCTGTAATGTTTCTCGACTGTGCTTGGTCATTCACTAATCTTCTAAGCATGTGTTGGTTTTGGGACGAGGTGTGATGGGTTAGACTCATCCCTGTTTTTAGGATAAGATGGTCCCATCTATCTATACGGCATGAAAACTGAGATGGTCCTACTTTTTAAGGGTGGCCCACATGTCAGCGAGAGAAAAAAGTGGGTTGGATTGGTTTGCTGGTTTTGCAGGACGATTCCAACCTCAAAATGGGGGGAGAATTTACTATTTGCCACTCTCTCAAAATACCAGTGCTCAAATGCCACTCTCCCAAATTTCCATTCCAAATGCCACCCGGGCCCACGTGTCAGCCTCACTTTCCATTCAAACAAAAATGATGCGGGACCCGGTGCTGAGTGAGGCTGACATGTGGGTCCAGTGGCATTTGGGAATGAAAATTTAGGATAGTGGCATTTGGGAACTGGCATTTTGAGAGAGTGGCAAATAGTAAATTCTCCCTAAAATTGGGGAAATATTTCTTGGCAGGGATCATCCCATCATACCTGTCTTCAAACCAACACCATGAAAAATAGATTCAACCTAACCTAACTTATCCCAACCTTTGAACCAAACGCATTCTAATGGTTTGTTTTTGTTGCTTCGTTTATTTTTGGGACTACCTATATTTATGCAGAAAATCCCCTGTGTACCCCTGAAAGTTCACCTAATCCCTTATGTACCCCTGAATTTTGCTCAATCCCTTACATACCCCTGAATTTTAGTTTGGATCCCTTCCATGCCCTTCCCGCTAGTTGACCGTTAAATTCTTATGAAAAAGTCCATTTTGCCCTTTGGTATAAAGAAGCATATAAATTAATAGAGTATATTGTTGGAGCATAGAAATTTGTTATATGAGACTATTATGTTTATGAGATAGTTATGCACCATATTATTTGCGATAAATATGCTTTGAGATATGACATAAAAAAATAATACTTATTTATTTTTTAGCATATGTGTTCTGATAGTAATAAACAAATCTGTTGTATTACTATGAAAACACATATGCTACATAAAAAGAACTTTTAATAACTAATAAATAAGTATTAAATTTTTATATCATATGTAAAAGTAAATTTGTCACAAATAATATGGTGCATCACAGACTCATAAATGTAATAGTCTCATCCAATAAGTTTTTACATTACAACAATGTACTTCGTTAATTTATTATGTTTCTTCATAGCAAAGGGCAAAATGGACTTTTTCAAAAGAACTTAACGGTGAACTAACGGTCAACTAGCGGAAAGGGCATGGAAGGGATCCAAACTAAAATTCAAGGGTATGTAAGGGATTGAGCAAAATTTAGGGGTATAGAAGGGATTAGGTGAACTTTCATGGGTACATAGGGGATTTTCTCATATTTATGCCGTCATATTTTTCATGAAAAAATAGTCATCATATATTTACATTGTTAGTCACTAAATTATATATGTAATTTTAGTGTATTTACCATGTAAATCCCAAATTACATATGTAATTTTAGCTTCACGTATGACATTTTAAGTTGAGAAATGCTATTGTTTGGAAATTTTGGGCCTCGCCATTTTAATGGGCCTGTCAACATGACAAGGGACTAGATACTGACATGATGAGATGCGTCCGTGGGTCTCGATCAGCACAAATCTCAAATTGAATCGAACTATTAGAAATCTGACTATAACGAGGAAAGAAAATTGTCGCCACAAATATAGCGATTCCATTATTTTTATATAGATTTGGAAAATTAATTTTCTGCTTTTCTATAGACACGTCTTGCCAGTTGCCACGTTGTATTTCCCAAAATTCAATACTACCTCCGTGCCAAAATAAGTGCAGTCATAAATATCCGTGTTTAGCGCTTTGACTATCCGTCTTATTTAAAAATTTTATGAAAAATATTAAAAAAATTAATCACACATAAAGTACTATTCATATTTTATTATCTAATAACAATAAAAATACTAATCATAATCTTTTTTCAAATAAGACGAACGGTCAAACGTTGAACATGAATAGTGTTAAAACCGCACTTATTTTGGAACGGAGGGTGTAGAAATCGACGGTCATGAGAAAGGAGGAGCAGAGTCGAACAAAAAAAATGGAGCCAAAGCAGAGCAAATCGGGAAACAGAGCAGACAATTGCCATGATACAGAATAAGAAACAGAGGAAACAGAGTAGGTGCATATATATCTGATGACTACCTTTACGGTGCTCTGCTTTGAACGATTTCCTTGATCGCTACGAGTGTGCGCTCAAATGATACAAACAGGATTCACAAATAAAAAGGGAAATTTGTACTCACTTTTTCATGACGCATAAAAAAATGAGAGCAATAAAGTTTGAGATACATCTATCCTGTATGAGCAACCTCTTTCCAATTCGTAAGACCACCCTTGTAATAGGATATCGTCTACTTTGGGTTTTTAATTATATTATCTCCTTTGAGAGATTTTTAGAATTATTCAGGCTATTTAGTCTATTTTAGCTTCTACTGTCTCCTTTTTCTTAGGGAAGTGGTTAAGGACCTCAGAAGATAGAGGAGAGCGTCACGCATAGATTTCTAGAATACTTCTACGTGGAATACTCGTTAAATGCGTATTCTCTGTATTATGCTTTGGACAGGACTCGAACCTCCACACCTTTTAGCACGAGATTTTGAGTCCCGCGTATCTACTATTTCACATCAAGACATCTTGAAATTCCTCCACATTCAGAAACACTATAGTAGAGCTTAAGGCCGGACTTAGCAATTTTCTGTCGATTGTGATTTAGCAATTCCCTGTTATTTATTCGAGAATACAACACCAAACTACTAGTATGAAGCAGGCAAATATACAGTCATACAGACTGTGCTCCGTGTGCTCGTCCATGGAGGCATGGATCATGGTCGAGGCACTCTTATTTATATGTCGATAAAGACTACTTCTAAACAAGCTTAAAAGGTGGTTTTGGGGGGCTTGTAATCGTTGAGGTAGGGCATGGTGGTCAGCCCTTTCTTCATCAGCGGCTCAACCATCGGCCACACGCCATTCTCCGTCGCAACCTTCTCGATCACATCGCTAATGTCGTTCTTCACGTCGTACCTCATCGTGCCGATGACCTCCTCCGCCGTCGGGCCGAGCTCAACGGAGACGATCTTGAACGCGCCGCCGCCGCCGGCGCTCTCGACGCGCACGAGCGTGGGGCCACTGAACAGGTTGTGCTTGCACGCCAGGGCCTCCTGGTACGCCCCCGACAGCAGCGCCGCCACGTAGTAGCCGCCGTGCTCCGCCGCCGCGTCGTCGAGTGGGTGCAGCGGCAGCGTCACGGCGTCGCGGATGAACTTCTCTACCTTGCCGTCGCTGTCGCAGGTGATGTCGACCAGCGTGCCGTTGATGGTCGGCTTCTCGTTCAGCCGGCTCACCGGCATCATCGGGAAGAGCTGGCCGATGCCCCAGAAGTCGGGGACGAGGGAGAAGACGGAGAGGTTCATGTGGTAGTTGTAGATGCCGTTGGCGTCGCCGGTCACCCTCTTGGACAGCTTCTTCGCCAGCTTGTACATCTCGATCCCGTGCTTCTTCAGCTCCACGGCGTGCGAGTGCATGGCGTCCACGCCGCCGCCGCCATTGACGGTATGAGCAGTTCTTGGCTGCTTGGAGGAGAGGTCCTGGATCTTGCTGAGCAGCCGGTGATGGGTGTCCTCCTCGTCCTGCGGCTCCGGGATCGCCGAGAGCGCCTCGAGGATGATCATGGAGTGGTGCGACGCCATGGCGCGGCCGCTCTCGGTGCAGAGCACCGGGTGGGGGACGCCATTGTCGTCGCACGTGAGCCGCACCGCCTGCACGATGCTGGACGCGTACTGCTCGAGCCCGTACGCCACCGACATGTCGGAGCTGCCCGACCGCGTCCCGTCGTAGTCGACGCCGAGCCCGCCGCCGCAGTCCAGCGTGGTCATCCCCGTCGCGCCGTGCTCCTTCACCAGCGCGCAGTAGATTCCTGCGGCCTCGGCCGCCGCGTTGTACACGATGTCGGTGGTCGGGATCATGGAGCCGACATGGTAGTGCAGCAGCTTCAGCCAGTGCAGCTTCCCCATCTTCTTCAGCTTGCCGGCCACCTCGTAGATCTTGTCGGCGAGCATCCCGAACTTGCCGTGCTTGCCGGCCGTGGAGCCGAAGTGTCCCGGAATCTTGGTGAGAAGCTTGGCGCGGACGCCGATGACCGGCTCGACGCCGAGCCTGGCGCTCTGCTCGACGACGATGTCGAGCTCCTCCTCCATCTCCAGCACGATGATGGCGTTGAGGCCCATGGCGCGCGCGGAGAGCGCGAGCGCGACGTAGTCGGCGTCCTTGTAGCCATTGCAGACCAGGTAAGCTCCGGGCTTGGCCTTGGCGAGGCAGCTCATGGCGATGAGCAGCTCCGGCTTGGAGCCAGCCTCGAGGCCGTAGCTGTAGCCATGGCCGAAGGTGACGAGGTCCTGGACGACGGCCTTGTTCTGGTTCACCTTGATGGGGAACACGCCCTGGTACCTGGACGCGTAGCCGGTGCTGTCGACGGCGCCATGGAAGGCGGCGTGGAGGGAGTCGAGGCGGTTCTTGAGCACGTCGGGGAAGCGGAGGATCATCGGGAACTGGGGCTTCTTGTCGCCGTCGTTGGTGGTGATGGTGGTGGCGAGAGCTCTGTGGATGACGGAGTGGACGTCGATGTCCTGGCCGGACATGGTGTCGCGGCCATGGGGCTTGACGGCGAGGTGGCCATGGGAGTTCACGGTGAAGTAGGGGTCGCCCCACCCGAGGATGTTGTACACTTGACCGTAGTTCTTCTTCGCCATTGCTGTTCCTTTCTTCTGTCACTAGAGACAATATTCCTTTTTTTAGAATTGCAAAATCATACTACGTATTATTATTGCTTTATTGCACTGCTCAACAGTAGTTCTTTATCATTAATTATCATTTACTAAATCAATATACTCCTAACAACTTACTCACTGTGTCTTATAAAAAATTCAGTTTCTAGATATGTATGTCCAGACTTATCATTTGGATTAATTTTTTTTTACTGAGAGAGAAAAGCAAGAAATCATTAAATTAAAATGGAAAAATAATACTTTGATGTTGACGCTTGCCAATAGAAGAAAAAAAGTATACCAAAGTTGTGTGCCATAATCTATTTTAGAAAGGTTGGATTGAGGATATCTATACTTGTAGTTTTTGTATTGTTCAAGTGTAGAAGCGATGTGTAAAGCTAACTGACTGCCTAAACTTGCACAGTGAGTGTATATAGTATGTGGTGTGCAACTTTTTTAGCAACTTCGGTGAAAATTTGTGCATCTTTTAATTTAATCTGTTTTTTTCATTTTATAAGTTTACACTACGCCATCAGGTCACCTCTGACGACGGACCCAAACCCTCACCTTTGATGGGTGGTGAGTGTGGAGTTATCTGTGACCATTAATCTCTGACCAGGGTCAAACCTGTCAAAGGTGAGGGTTTGGGCCCGTCAGAGGTGAGGATCTATGCAAACTCAGGGATGGTTGTAACCCGTCAGAGGTGAGACGCATGTGATAGGTTTAAAGGCGATGGTCCGTCACAGATAACCCATTATCTGATGTATCACCTACGTGTACTTTTTGTCACATTTGTTAATTGTACCCGCCTAATTTTTTCTTATTTGTGCAACTCTTTTATTTTTCTCTGAAATGATTCTGATGCAAGTTTTCTTATTCACCCAGAGAAAAAAATTGCAAACATTGGATATTGATTATGTCGTTGAATCTTTGACCGATAGATATGGAAAAAATCAGTCATCAGACATTACTTTATTATAAAAAGATGTGCGCAAGGCACCTAGCTAATTAATCATAAAAATATACATAATACTTACTGTAAATTTTACTAAGACAAAATCAAGAAAAATAATTTGTCAAAATTGCACGTTAGATCACTAGTAAAAGAAATCATATAGTAAGAGAACATGGAAAAAATCACAAATGTAAAATAAAACTGAAACAATGGACATCTGTTAATTTGAAATATAATAGATCTTCGCACTATGTACAGCTTTGCTATTCCATTTAGCAAGTTATGGACATTTAAATGCCGTCATCAACCAAACGTTGTGTTACTGCCTGTAAATGTTAGTATCAACCTAATTAAGCATGTAGCAAGAAAGCTAATTAATAGCAAAGATGTCGTTGGCAGATGCAGAAGAGAAGACACTCCAGGTACTAATCATAGAATGTGAAATACCATACCGGTAGGAGGGTAGGGAACTTGGATGACTGGATTTAATTCAGTGCTTGTGTGGTAGCATATGGGATGTAGACTGCATCTTCTTCCATTTATATAGAGGCCTATCTGAAATCAAAATGTGTTACTCTAGCTAGGAGAGTATTAAAAAATGACATGTGATGCATGCTTTGGAGGAGACTGACTGCTCAATAGTTAAATTACTGAGAAGATCATGTACTACTCCATGTGTACAGGATCTGCATTGATGTTAGTGAGTGTGGAGGTGTTCAGATCATATGTGTAAAATTTTGTCGTGTCACATCCGGTATCATATAGTGTGTCGCATAGGGTGTTCGGTCACTAAAAAAACTAATTACAAAATCCGTTAGTAAACCACGAGACGAATTTATTAAGCCTAATTTATCTGTCATTAGCAAATATTTACTATAGCACCACATTGTCAAATCATGGAGCAATTAGGCTTAAAAGATTTGTCTCGCAAATTAGTCGCAATCTATGTAATTAATTATTTTTTTAGCCTATATTTAATACTTTATACAGGTGTTCAAACGTGTTCGATGTGATAGGGTGTAAAATTTGTGTTATGTGTGATCTAAACAGGGCATGTGTTTAGATCTGTCAGCAGTCAGCGCAACACATTTATTATCATAGTTATTTTGGCACCTCTTGGCTCTATTGAATTCATGGGCCTCTCGTTTTGATTTGTTTTTTTGTGACACGTACAACCCATGTGGAAATGCAATTCGAAATGGATTCATATTTAACTTCACCTCGATGCTAAATTGCTACTCCCTCCGTCCTAAAATATAAGCATTTTTTTTACCCTGACACGGTCTACGAGATACTACTTTGACCAATAATATCTATAAAAGTAAGATGTTTTAAATAAAAAGAGTTGCATATTATGATAGTTTGTTTAATGGTAAATCTGGTAACATCAATTTTACATGATTGATCTTTTTTATTTTTTTGTTATTAATGGTCAATGTTTAAAATGTTTGACTTGTCACTATGTTAAAAATGCTTATATTTTAAGACGGAGAAAGTAATTGCAGAAAAAACTCATTATGCATGTCTCATTACAAAATCTGCTTTAACAGTTCGAGAAACTGACTCGCTTAGCGTGGCAAATGTGACATAGGACCAAACAGTCTGTCCGACTCACAATCGTTTGGTAGTATTTTAACTCCTAAATTTAACTTTAAGAATTGGATCTGAAATAAAGTTGTGGAACTGTCTAAACTTCGCTTCACATCTCTAGTTTAGTTTGTAAGAGCACTTCAGCCAGCTCCACTCTCTTTTCGGATAGAGCAAATAATTGTTTAGTTGAACTTTAGCTACAGAAGAAGTCGAGCTAGAGTTAAAGTCGTACCAGACGGATCCTCATGCTTAATCCGGATGGTTAAATCCTCTGACAAATAATTCTCATAGAGCACTATTGGAGAGAGACGCCTTAAAAAAGTTTTAATTTGCCACGAAACCAGGATCATAATATATAGCACTGTCGAATTATATAAGATAGTGTGCGTCCTAGTAATACGGGGCAAATATGCATATTTGTTTAGCAATGATGTATTATCGTAGGATAATGTTCACAGTAACCTGAGATTCTCTCGCCCTCGAGAAACGTAGCATTTGTGTCCACGTACCCACTTATACAGTACGTTGAGCTTAACATCACACTACTATCACACTTTAATCCAAATGCAAATCACGTTGTAATTATTATATGATGTTACCACACTGCCCTAATTCACCCTTTACTGTAGCATGGTTGGCTAAACTGTATGATTAATTGTATGATGAAATCAATGTATGTGCTATAATAAGATCCTACATGTATTGATTAATTTGTGAACCGTAAGTACTGAAGGACCATCTTGGTAACTTGGCGTCTTCTTCAACAACATCGCTTGAGAGATTCTTATTCTCTTATCCCCAACAGTACTTGACTTCTTCTACCTTTTTATTAAGTTCCAAAGAAAAAGAATTAAAGAAAATATCACGCGCTCCACAATTGTCTCGAGGTTGTTCATGAATTGCATCTTCCTAGCGGCAGGGCGGGTCCAGATAAATTCAAAGATATTCTGATGTATATCTAACATCTTTTTAAGAAAATTATATATGTAGTATGTAATATGTATGGATGCGTTTGGCAAATGGGTTATGAGAGATGAGATTGAGAAAAGAAAATGGATGAATGTGATTAAATGAGATGTGAAGAATGGATGGCTAAGATGCAATGTTACCTTGTGGAGGGTGGGATATAATTTCCCTATCCATTTGCCAAACAAAACCTATGTGGTGGCAGTGGTGCATAAAGATCGAATTCAATCAAGAAGCAAATAAATCTATCTTTCCAGACCTGATGGCAGTGGTGCATATTATGGTATAGATAATTGCTGACACTTGTAGTTTCAGCAGCTCAAAAGATCAAAACCCTGTTATAGGAAAAGTTGCATATTATGGTAGATTTATAGATATAACTCAGTTAAATTATAGTATAAAGGAAGCATATTATTACCCAGATGTGAATGGTTCAATATATGTTTTGAAAGGCAGTGGCATTAAGGAAGATAAATTTGGCATTAAACTTGTGAAGTTCAATTACTTGTGTAACAATGGAAGTAATTTGAGTGATGAACCATTTGTTTTAGCATCACAAGCTACACAAGTTTATTATGTTCAAGATACCGCAGAAAAAGATTGGCACGCTGTGGAACAGTCAAAACCAAGAGTTTTCTATGATATGAACATTAAAGACTGACAATGAGGAGGATATACAGCAGTTTTCAGACCAACCTTATAATCTTTACAATGATACTATTGTGACTTGAATTCTCTCGTAAAGGAAAAGAAGTCTCGGCGAAAGAAAAGGCGCTTCGTGCTCCCTCCGTCTGACCACCTTTCCCATCGATTCCGGCGGATCGGTCGCCAGCGATGAGGGAGGGGGTCCAGGTAGTCGGGTATATCCTGTAGTAGGGCTTTCCCTTTCTTTGTTTTTTTTAATTGTTTGTGCAGTTCGACAGGTTGCCGGCGTTGCATCCTCTTGTCTTGGTGCCAAACCATGGATTCTCTTCTTGTTTTAGTTTCCATTTCCATAGATAGAGTGTTAAACCGATGAGGTCGTGTTAGAATTGGACTCAGTTAGTTTCCTTGTTCTGTAAGATAGCCGATCGAGTCGTGTATGAGTCGGGCTTGTTCTTTGTAATCGAACAATAGTTTAATAAAAGACTTTCAGTGCATCACCAACCCTAGTTTTAGTTTCAACAAATTCTTCTTTTTGAGTTTGGGCTGCATCGGTTTCGATCTCCGACTATAAAGTATGTTTCGTCAACTTCTCTTGTATAAGAGGAATTAGTACTTTCTCGGTTAAGTCCAATATACTAGTTAAGCTTCTTCATGCGTTGCTTATCCAATATATTGGCTCGTTCTTAGATTGTTTTGCTTTCTTAGTTAGATTCAATATATAAATCACTCTGTAATTAATTAGCTCGTATAAATATATAAAACTTATTATTAACCTCATACTGTCTCAGTTAAGTCAGATCTTTTAGGTTATAATTTGCTAGTTAGATTTGCTCAAGTGAATAGATTTTATCCGTTGTTTCATCGAAGATTTAGTCGATGAATTATGTATTTATCATGGTTTAAATGTGCTAAATCGGTTAATTTACAAGATTTAGAATAATCGTCTAGTTGCTCTTTTTTATTATCTTCAATTTTATACTGTCTCTGTTAGATCCTATCATTGTGGTTAATAATTATAGATTGCTGTCAATTATATTTAAACTTGTTAAAGCCGATGTTAGTTTATTCCTTCATAAAGAGCAATAATAAGTATCAATTAATTTTGGCATATCGGCCCATATCCAAAAGACATATAATTGTTCAGATTCTATTTTATTACTATCAATCTTATAATGTCTCTAGTACGATCTATCAATATTGGTCGTAATACAATTAGATAATTTACAATTATATCACATCTAAGTTTCAGGCGATGTTCTTTTCAACTTATTATATCTAAAACTAGGTGAAACCCCGCGCATTGCTGCGAGAATTTAGTATGAAGATATACATTGAAACATTATGTGAATTATGTTGGATTATAATTTAACATGTTTGTGTTTGAAAAGCTCTTAAATTATAAAAACTATAAAGATATAGCATGTTTGCATGATGTTTAAATGTGATGATTGTTAGTGGATGATGATGTGGCATCTTTGCATGAAGATATACATTGAAACATTATGTGAATTATGTTGGATGATAATTTAACATGTTTGTATTTGAAAAGCTCTTAAATTATAAAAACTATAAAGATATAGCATGTTTGCATGATGCTTAAACGTGATGATTGTTAGTGGATGATGATGTGACATCTTGTTAATTAGTGGATGATGATGTGGCATCTTAAGCTCTTAAATTATAAAAACTATAAAGATATAGCATGCTTGCATGATGTTTAAATGTGATGATTGTTAGTGGATGATGATGTGACATCTTGTTAATTAGTGGATGATGATGTGGCATCTTTGCATGTTAAGTTTAAGGAGTTAGTGTGGGATAACTTTATAGTAAGATAGGATTCATCAGTTATAGCTGTTGATCTGGGACTCTATGAGAATCATTTGGGCACACGATACTATATTGGCCTTGTGGTCAATTGTCTCCTCGATCTAACCTTTTCATTACTATCTTGTTAGTTTCAAGATTAAACTTACTGGCACGCCCTGAACTCGACTGATAGGACCTGTACTAGAGTCAAGCAAATCTATCACACCTTCGTGTGAACGACGAATTTATCATCAACACCAACGCACCAAGCCTCTGCCAGATCTGCCATACCGCTCCTCCTCATCGTCGAGTAGCCATCGCCGCTCCTCATCCTCGTCGTAGAGCCACATGAGGAGGACTATAAGAGGATGGTGAGGAGAGCTCTACTTTGGGCTCCAGTGAGAGAGAGGAGAGGGAGAGGATAAGGAAAGAGTAGTGAGAATTTTGGGAACATCGTGTATTGGTCAGTTTGGCTCATAAGAACATTTTTTTTCTTTTTCCTAAATGAAACTTTAATAGTGTAGTGAAAACAGTGTCATACGGTAATTTCGATTTTGAGAGAACTTGAGATGTTGTCTAATCTGGGAGCATGGTCACATTAAAATGTTTAATACTAATTTATTACTTGAAGGGATATATATATATATGATACCCCTCTAAATTCCAATGTTATTTTTTATTGTCATGTGTTTGTGGGGGGTTGGGAGGAGGGGGCGGGGGGCTGAATTCTGGAAGTAACCTCGTGAGGGCAGGGCCCAATGTTTGTCAAGGACAAAAGGATTGTGGGGACCCAAAGTGGGTAAATCTAATATCAGCAGGTCTACGATGTAAAAAAATTTAGAGCATGAAATATATCTCTACTATTATAAAAATTTAAAATGTTTTTGGCGTCGTCCGACTGAGTCTCCATGCCTTTTTTTCCGTACGTCGTCCGATTGAGTCTTCATGCCTTTTTTTTTTCATCCGACAAAACAGTATGTTTGTGTAGTTCGAAACGGGTTTTGGTGTATAAACACCAAAAACAACTGATTAGTCCAAATAATCAGTTGATTAGTAGCTAATTACTCGATTAAGACGTTTAATATTTTTTTTTCTATTTGATCGGTGGGCCTAAAGGGAGCAACCCAAATAAGCTATCAACCATATATATACAGTATGCTCTATGTTTGTGCTTACAGTGCTAGGTTCCCAGATCATCCAATGATTTATCTCTGTAGTATGGTATTTTTATATATCTCTATCTCTACTATTATAAAAATTAAAGATGTTTTTGCTGGTACTTTAGTACGTCATCCGTGTATAAGTCGGTTTTTAAGTTCATTCGTTTTCGGAAATACAGATTTGTATTTAAATTGGGTTTTAAATTCATTCACCTTTGGAAATACAAGAGGAGTCATATAAGAAATCTCTTTAAAAAAAACTCGCATGCTAACTTAAAATGATCGGACTCCTAATTATAGCTCATGTTTTTTCTAGAAAAATATATATCCAAGCGAATTCTTCCAATGAAACTATTATAAAAATTGAAGATGTTTTTGCCGGTACTTTGGTACGTTATCCGTGTATGAGTCGGTTTTTAAGTTAATACAATTTTAGAAATACAAATATGTATTTAAGTCGGATTTTAAATTCGTTTGTTTTTTGAAATACAGGAGCAGTCGTATAAGAAATCTCTTTATAGAAACTTATATGCTAACTTGAGACGATCAACTCCTAATTGCAGCTTATGATTTTCTAGAAAAAATAATATGTATTCAAGCGAATTCTCACAATGAATTTCACCTTAACTAAACCATGTAATAATAATAAAATTAAAATAGCCTTCATCCATTGCAATGCATGGGTATTTTTTTCTAGTCAAGTAAAAAAATTTGACTTCCAAACATGCCAATAGTTTTACCATTATGTTGGCTTTATAGTTTTCACTAATTTTAGGAATTGGGAAGTGAATGTGTTTATATTCCTTAAATACTGTACGAGACAAAAATAGTCCAAAGCCATTGGCAGACAAAGCAATACGAGCTGCCCTTGAGAGCCTGCCGGTCTTCTTGCTCGCATTCAGATTTTCCTTTTTTTTGGGGGGGGTTGGGGGGGAGGGGGGGGCGTGGTTGGTGAGATGCAATTATACATTTGCATTACCTAAAGAAAATTAAGACATTGAATAATACTCCACAAGAATGGAGTATTGATTGAGTTTACTCTGATGTGTGTTACAACAACAAGATACAGGGCTGCTTGCAAATCAGTGAACACAACAATGTGTAATCATCTCAGATTATCCTCCCAATTTATGTATGATTGGCTCAGATCGAAATCGCAGCATATGCATACATACAAACATGAATAAGCAACAACTTGTCCCTTGTTATTTTTCAGGTTGAGAATGCAGGTTGAGGTTCAGAAACTGAGTGTACTTGTTTGTAGTACGTTCAGAGCTGCACTTGGCTGACGAGAGGCTTCCCGGAGAAGAAGGCGTCAAGGTTGGCCTTGACGACGTCGACGACGCCTTGGATGGACTCCGGCGTGATCACCGCGCGGTGGTCCGACAGCACGACGTTGTCCATCCCCCACAGCTCCGGCGGCACCTCCGGCTCGTTCTCGTACACGTCCAGCCCGGCGCCGCCGAGCACCCCTTCCCGCAGGCACCTCACCAGCTCGGCCTCGTCCACCAGCCCGCCGCGCCCCACGTTCACCAGCACGCCGCCCTTCCCCAGCGCCTCCATCACCTCCCGGCCCACCATGCGCCGCGTCTCCTCCGTCAGCGCGCAGCTCAGCACCAGCACGTCGCTCTCCGCGGCGAGCTCCCGCACGCTGGGGTAAAACTTGTACGGCGCCGACGCCTTCGGTGACCTCGAGTTGTAGGCGATCACGCAGCCGAACGCCGCCAGCCGCCGCGCCACCAGGCCGCCGATGCTTCCCAGCCCCACGATCCCCACCCGCTTGCCGCTCACCTGCGAGAGAGAGAGATCATCGGATTAGCATTTCGATTCACCTCGATTTTCTTTCCACCCAAATCTGCAAGAACCTTGCTCGCGAGAGGGTAATCGCCGGCGGCGGCGGCCCAGGCGCCGCGCCTGACGTACGCGTCGGCGGCAGCGACTCGGCGGAGCACGGCCACGAGCAGGCCGACGGCGTAGTCTGCGGCGTCGGCGGAGAACGCGTTCTGGGCATTGGTGACCGCGATCCCGCGGCGGCGGCATGCGCCGAGGTTGATGTGGTCGACGCCCGCGGACGACGCCACCACCAGCTCGAGCGCCGGGAGCGCGTCGATTTGTGCGGCGGTCACGGCAGGGAGGTCCACGGTGAGGAGCGCCCTCGCGGAGGCGGCGGCGGCCTCGTCGGCGTCCGCGGCGGGAAGGAGGCGGTAGCTGGGTGCGAGCTCCTGCTCGAACTCCGGGATGAGAGGGTCGGCCAAGAGCACGATCGGTTTGGACGAAGAACCGTCTTGGGTCGCCGGCGGCGCCATATCCGGCGAGGCGGCGACGGTGGGTGGCGGTGAGGGAGAAGGAGAAAGTCAGTGTACAGATAAGTGGGGGCAGGGTAGAGATGTGGGCTAATTTGTGTCATTCCTACAAAAAAAAGAAAACTCCAATTTACTCCCCTGAAACTTTTTAATTTGATCAGATTTTTTTTCATTTTACCTGTAAACCATAATAATTTGATCAGATTGTTTTTTTCATTTTACCTGTAAACCATAATAGCCATCTCTATTATAAAAATTGCTCTAATAGACTTACGGTAGCTCATATCCAAACCTCCGACGGCAGTTTGGGTGGACAAGAGGAGAAAGTTAGTGAGGTGGATGAATAAGGGTGTGTTTGAGGAGAAGAGGATTAAAGAGATTGACAAGATACGCAAAACGAGGTGAGCCATTAGCTCATGATTAATTAAGTATTAACTATTTTAAATTTTAAAAATAGATTGATATGATTTTTTAAAGCAACTTTCCTATAGAAATTTTTTTTAAAAAAAACGCATCATTTAGTAGTTTGAAAAGCGTGCGCGCGGAAAACGAGACTCAATCTCCCCTATCACCCTGGAACGAATAGAGCCTAAGAGCAAGTTTAATAGTATAGCCAACTATTAGCTCCAATTCATCTATAGCCAATCTAATAGCTTATCCATACAATAGTCATATACTACACTATTAATACCTGGTCCCATTTGTCATATACACACTGCGTCTTAGAGTCTGTGCTACAGCTGGCTACAAATCTGTAGCCCGCTGCTCTTTTCTTTTTTTATTTATCTTCTTAAAATATGTTTGCAGCTGGCTTATAGTCTGCTATTGTATCTGCTCTAAGTGGACCAGGGTGAAGAGGACGAAATGAGCAAAGCTTAAGAGGAGATAGGTGGGCTAAGCTCGATCTTAATCTATCTTAAACACTATCATAATTTTGGGCCAGCAAGTCATTAATGGAAAAATATGATTTTTTTTTTCATTTTTACTTTAAATTTGGATTCACATTGTCTTATGACACAATGTGTTAGATGGAGCCGATTTCAAATATGTTATTTTAGATGTAGGTGATAAGGGATTAAAAAAACACCCATCCTATAGCTCCCAAAACGACCCCCAATACTAGTGAGAGCAGATTGAAGGAGGCCTGAATCAGTTGAAGGATGACCCATCTAGGATGACATGGCAAATTTTATGAAGAGTTTGGAATATAATGACATATTTGAAGGACCTGTAATTTTTGGGCCCAAATATTTTTAGATGGTCCCATTCCAAAATTACTGAAATTCTCATTTTTTATCCTGGAAAGTTCGGTATTTCCTCAGCCACTAATAATGCAAGTTATACTTTGGATGAGTTTACAAGTAAACGTTGAACTGCTACATGAAAAGAGGAGAGAAAATTTCTGACGGTTTGTGAATGACTGACTCATGAATTAAGGCTGCAATAAATAGCGTGATTGGATCGTTCCTCCGATCCAATAATTACAGTACATTAGTTAGGCTGTATTTAATTCAGCGGTTTGAATTTTAGTTGAAATTGAAAATATTGTAACTGAAAAATTATGTGTATATGAAAGTTGATGTGATGGAAAATTACTGAAGTTTGGATCCAAACTTTATACGTAAACACAGCCTTAATTAATGAATTACCTTGGTCGCGAGAGGGTAGTCACCGTCCGCCGCCCACCTGCCTCGCCGGAGGTAGGCCTCGGCGGCGGCCACGCGGCGAAGCACGGCGACGACGAGCCCGACCGCGTAGTCCGCCACGTCGGGGGCAAACACCTCGCCGGCGTTGGTGACGCTGATCCCGCGGCGGCGGCACGCGTCGAGGTCGATGTGGTCAACGCCGGTGGACGTGGCCACCACGATCTCCAGCTTGGGGAGCCTAGCCACGAGATCTGCGGACACAGGCGTCAGAGCCGGCACGAGCACGGCCCTCGCCTCTGCTGCGTTGCCCTCGTCGGCGTCGGCGGCAAGCACGAAGCGGAAGCGGCCGTCCAGCGCGGCAGCGAACTCCGGGTAGAGCGGCCGCAGCAGGATCACCAGCGGCTTCCCGGCGTCGGGCGATGGCGCCACCATCTTCTCCTCCACTTTGGGAATTGTGAATTGGAATTGGAATTGGGATAGCTCTGCTCACCTCACCAGCACCAGGTAAGGCTGTGGTCGATTGTTTTTTGGAAGACTGATTCGATGGCGTCATACACAGCTGGTACACAATCAGGCAGAGGATTTGGTATTCCACCTCTGTGTTTTACCTATAGAAAGCAGTATTCTCTTTTTTAAATTAAACATAGTACAAACACAGACTCACAATACACATACACCAACCCATATGAACACGCACACACACTCTACATGATAAGCAACTTCTAAAGACTGAGTCATCAAATCTTGATATTGATAAAGCCATCATGAGCATCTCGCTATCTACAATTACGTCGTCTACTAGTGAAAAAAATAGTTAGCCGTAATTGTGAACACTAGGGGTGAAGCTAACATCAAAAAAGGGGGCGGGGCGCACTACCATTAAAAATCTAGAAAATTTCAGTACAACACTGTACATTCTAGCATCAATTGAGTGAGAAATTAGAAATTTGGAGGGTTCATGTGCACCCCCCCCCAAAAAAAAAGAATATAGCTTCGCCGCTGAACACCCATGTTAATTCTAGGACTTATACTGGGTAGGCCGATTCTATTAAAAGAAACCTAACTAGTTGAGCTACACCCACTTCATCATGTACAAAGTTGTTAACTTTAATACTAAAACATTCGATAATTTGTTTTATCACAAATTTAGTATAAATATGAAAAATAGTAGTCATATAAAGACAATAAAATAAATGAAAACAATTTCTGTCGCTGAAGAAGACACTAGCAGCAAGAAAGACGGATGCACTGTAACATCCTGAAAATTCAAGACAATAAAAATCACTAAAATTTTGAATTTTTTTTTTAAAAACATTTGCATCATGCTGGTTGTTATGATTGCTATTGCTTGCCAAACCGTAAGTGATCACAAAGAAAGTAAAGTAAGGATCTAAAATTTAAGTAATAGATAAATTTACAAGAATATAATATTGTTAATCCTACAAATAATTATGCACAAGATAGTTAAGTCAAATATTAATTTCTATTACAAATTACAAATCAGGTATTAAATATTCGAACCATGATTGATAGCTTGATGTCACAATTAGCTAAAGAAATTGTAAGATTAAATCTAATTCATTTGAATCGAATCTCACATGAAATATAAGAACACATGAAATGATGATCACCACTATAGTGATCGTGTTTATAAATAAGTAATTCACCGGAATATATAGATTGATACTTGCAACATGTCGCCGAGTTACTCATGACATGAAAATCACTCATATAAAATAATGGTCATATAAATAAATTAATCCTTATATATAAACAAGAATATATGAGTGTTTAAAATTAGATTAATGTTGTACCGAGTCTTAATATACTATTTATAGAATAAATAGATTCAACCTAACCGTGTAAAATATATTGCTATAAGTTCATTCAATGTGCTATTGTAATAATAAGGGCCACACTAGGATATTTTAGTACCCTCAAAGCCTCCAAAATTATCTAGGCTAATTTTAGAATTAGACCTCATTTAAATAATATAATAGAAAAATATATATGAGAATAAAATATGGGTAATATTAAAATTTGGTAAACTTTCATCTAAATTAAAACATATATTGGGTAAACCTCATTTATGTAAAAATTAGGATTTATAGAATGAAATTTATACAAGGGATAAACTAAAATCGGGTTAAATAAAAAATGGCACTGTTCATTGCACTCTAGGTGCTCGACGTGGTCCCTGGCTCTATTTTCCCCTCCTCAGCCTCCTCAGCCGCGCGCGCCTGGCTGCCTCGCGCCCCGCGCCACGCCGCCCGCGTCGCGTCGCCGCTGCCGCGCCGTCGCCGCTCGTCCGTCTCATCATCGCCTCGCGCCCCGCGCCCACGCGCCGCTCGTCCGTCGCTCCGCCGCCTCGCGCCCCGCACCGCGTCGTCATCGCCTCACCGTCGCCGTCGCGCCGAGCCCCGTGCCGCGCCGCGCCGAGCTCCGCGCCGCGCCGTCGCGTCGCCGCTGTCACCACCTGCTGCCGCGTGCGCGTTCCATCGCCGCCTCGCGCCGTGCCGCTGCCGCGCCGCGCGCCGTCCCGTCGCCTCGCGCCGCGTGCCCGCTGCCTCGCGCCCCGCGCCGCTGCCACGTGCCGTGCCGCCTTGCGCCCCCAGCCGCGCCGCGCCGTCGTCATCTCCACCCGCGCGCCGCGCGCCGTCACATCGCCGCCGTCGCCTCACCCCCCCTCCACCGCCCTTCCCTTCTCTTCCCTCTCCCCCTTATCCTCTCTTTCCCCTATAAAAGCCCACCATCCTCCCCTCTCCCCACTCCATCCCCTCCATCCTCCACGCGTCGCCGTCGTCGTGCCGCCGCGCCGCCACCTTCGAGCCGCCGCGCCACCGCGCTGTGCCGCGCCGTGCACCGTCGTCGCCACCGCCGCCATCGGTGAGCCGCTGCCTTTTCCCCCCTGTTTTGTCGCCGTGCCGCTGGGTAGAGAGAGAGCAGAGAGAGAGGGAGGAAGGGAGAAGCCGAGAGAGAAGAAAGGGAAAAAGAAAGAGAGGAGAGAAAGAAAAGAGAGAAAAAGAGAAAAAGAAAAGGGGAAAGAGAAAGAAAAGAAAAGGAAAAGAGAGAAAAAGAGAAAAAGAAAAGGGAAAAGAGAAAAGAAAAGAAAAAGGAAAGGGAGAAAAAGGAAAAGGAAATAAATAGGAAATTAGAGGGAGTTTGGGGAAGTTTAGAAAATTTAAAATAATTAGAATTTAATTATAGATTAATTATAGTCGTAGAATTGCAAAATTTAATATAAATTATGGATTATTCTTGGTAATTTCTATGAGAAATCAATTCGCGGTAGTAATTTAGATGTGATTAATAACTAGACAAATAGATGAATTCTTATAGATTATTATAGATTATTTTTGGGTAATCCCTATAAGTAATCGATTCACGGTAGAAATTCGGATTTAGTTACTAGGGATTTTAGCCGTGTATTATATTTAATCATTTAGTCATAGACTAAATTAAATCATATAATATTTCTAGGATTTCGTTCGATATTTAGCTCCAATTTGAGTGAAACTTGAACCTAAATTCATCTAAATTCATAAGCTTTCCAATGATATATAATTCACTATTTGATAAAATATATTTATAAATATTAAATAATTAATATCAAGATGATGCATAATAGTCAACTTAAAAATATGCTAATAAATAAAATTAGTATTGTACAGTAGAGTGGATGTAATAATATTTGTCTCTAACATGTCTTGCCACTGTAACAACCACACAAACTAATTTTATGTGATGTCTCAAATGAATGGATGTATAGGAAAATACTACTACTTATTTAATATTCGATGGCCATGGCTTATAGATTATTTAAATCAAGTATAGCCTTATGATTATGTAACTAAAATATAAACACACATAGATGAATCTTTAACCTGTTTAGGAAAATAATAACAGAGCTAGATGTGGAGGAATCACTAAGTAAATTAATCGATGCAATACCATATAGAATAGCATATATATGCCTAAATTGATTACCACTTATTAGTAACCCAATAGAACCAGTGCTTAAACTTGTCGCATCACATATACAATATCGCTCATAAAAACTAGCTAATGTATAATTAAACTACAATATATTCAGGAATCACTTGGAGCATTGGGTAGTACACTTTCTAAATAAGCTCATGTACAGTAGGCGACCAAAACCTTATACGTTGTTGCACACATATATTGTACATCCCATTATAGTTATACAATTAATTTATCTTTTTCATATATTAAACTAGGGAGTATATAACAAACATGAATAGTAGATAAGTACTAATTATAAATCTTGACCTCATATGTTCATAGTTCAATTGTAACTCCGGATTGTTCATTAAGAGATAATCTGTAACTATAATATTATAAACTTCCCGAATTTAACATATAGAGCATGGATAATTATTAGCCCCTTTATAATTTATAATGGCAAGTAAAATATGTTCATAATTAAAGTAAAGCTTCCATCAATAAAATAATAATACAAATAATTCACTGTAATTGTTTGATTGATCCTAAATCCATCTAACAACAGAACCTCTAGTATATAACCGTCCTATTTAGATAGATGCATGCTTAGCCATAATCCTTCCATAAGCCATTTGATAGACTAAACCACCGATTAGCCAAATATATATGTATCCCATAAATGCTATGTTGGTTAACTCCTAAATAGGCCACGTTGATAATAGAAAGATTAAGAAACCTTAGCCCCTAGCGTGATTGGAATCCATTAGCAAACACGAATAGTACATTTTGTTGCGCATATTTGATTGTTGTTTGAATATTGGTTTTTCTCGCGTATTATAGACCTTGTGTATCGGTTAGTCGTGAGGCAACGTCTGCAACTTCCAGGAGGTGAAGGTTGATCAAGATTATATCAATAATAAGGATTATCCTGAGCAAGGCAAGTCATCACTATTCCTTGAACATGTTGATCCTAATTGCGAAATTATTTTGTTTACAAATAAAATTGCATGCAATGATGAACATCCTACTTGTGATTATGCCATGCCTTGATTATTGTTTACCCTTAAAATCCTTGTACCCATGATTACGTATGAGTCCCTAGTCAATTATGACAATTGCTTAGAAATGCTATTCTAGAATCATACATACTCATATTTATCAAATGCTATATGCTTGGGCAATTACCTTTGGGAAGGTAATTGAGATGCGGCATGTGGAGACATGAGCGCCACATTGCCATGATGTTGATGACATGATTTGTGAAAGGAGAAATAAAATTAAATAACTGTTTTCGACTGGGGCGGACGGAGGATTTGGGTGGTATCTGGAAAAGGCTAGTACCGTCCCCGGTCAATTAAGGACCGAGCAATGAAGTTAAGCATGAAACGACCCCCGTACAACCGTACTTCTCGAATGGGTATAGACCTAGCGGATTAGATAGCCGAGCGGAGGCAGTATCCCTGCATAGATGGTTCACCCCTGAGTGAGGCAGGTGCGCTACAATGGGACAGCCGTTGAGGTAGGGCCGAGAGAGGCGTGCCCTACATCGGTGTCGCCATTGGTAGGACTGCCATGAGTGTGTGAGAGAGAGAACTTAACTTGAACCATAATTTAATATGCGTGTGAGACTTCTCTTTCCCGGGAGCGCCAGAACTCCTCTCACTGCTAGAAACATGGACGCCTAGAGTGCATGAGGATTTAAGTTCATGGAGCGGGTACTGCCAATGCGAGGTTATCGAAAAGCTTTGCCGTGACGCGTCTCATGTGTTGGGACGAGGCTCATGTGTTGGGCAGTCGCGGAGTGCGGGTAAAGTGTACATCCACTGCAGTGTGAGTAAACCAAATATATTCGAATAGCCGTGCTCGCGGTTATTGAGCACCGGGACATGTATTACACTTGGCTAGACTCTAAATTCTTAACTTGTGGGGAATGGGATATTGCATGATGAATTTTATGCTGATGAAGCCACATCCCGAGAGGAGGGAAGGTGGACATCCTCAGAAAACCATGACGATTCAATGGCGGGAAGCTATCCTTGGGATCACAATGGATGGTGGACAGAACCGTCGTTGTTTAAAGTGAACACTGGTACTAAAATTTGATCAGTCTATGCTAGGTTTTAGGCTTGTGAAAAGAATTGTAAAATTAGCTTTATGCAAAAGGACCTGAAGCCATTCCTTGAAATACCCTCTATCATATGCATTGTTATTGTGGTGGCTTGCTGAGTACGGTTGGTACTCACCCTTGCTATTTATATATCTTTTAGGAGAGTGTTGAAGAGAAGCCCTTGTCGGTACGCTTGCGTATCCCACAAGATGATCGGAGTGCGGTCTTGTTCTAGGTCTCGTTCCCCAGTCGACTGCCTGTGGCATGTTAACCGGGCCCTTATATTATTTTGTCTTCCGCTGTTATTCTCTGATAGTTGTTGGCCTACCTGGCCCTAATGTAAGTATTTAACACTTTTAGCCTAAGTTCATTCGTGATATGTTATGATCCAACTATGTATGTGTGTACCAACTACTGATCCAGGGATTGGTACGGATAAACACAGAAGATTTCCGATTTCCAAAATCGGGGGTCTACATGCACAAATCTTGTGCATAGATCGACAGGTGGTCAATTTTTTCACTCACCTAATGAATAACAAAGTGAAATAAAATTTCACTATTCTGCAGAATGTATAATAGATTAACCTTCTAATGGTCTTTTAGAAAAGATAAATTAAGATAGTTGATTCATTTAAGTAATAAAATTGTATCTCTTCTCTGCATAGGTAGACCACACAGAATGAATAATGATTAGTAAGAGCTTGTTCGGCGTGGAGGAATTTCAACATATATGAATTGAAGTGAAAGAATAGTAATGCATATCCACATTAATCCATAGAAAATTTTTCAAAAGGTATAGTTGATGAAATTCTTTTTTATGTTTTCTCTCTATAACTTACCGGAAATGGTTTTTTTATTTGTCTATACTTTATTCATACGAAACGAATGATACTCACAATAATCAATCCGTAGGAATCTACATCCTTTGCTTTTCCTCCAAAACGAAACTAGGCCCTAAAACATTTTATAGCAATAATGATGATAATAAGAATAAGTCAATTGTTGGACTAACAGGGCAAGTGTGCGTCACTCCGAGGCTTCCACTCGCGTAAGCAGCGGCTCGCCGGCGAAGAACGCGTCGAGGTTGGCGAGGACGACGCGGCTCAGGTCGGCCATGGATTCCGGGGTGAAGATGGCCTGGTGCGGGGTGAGCACCACGTTGTCCATGGCCCACAGCTCCGGCGGCACGTTGGGCTCGTCGTCGAACACTTCCAACCCCGCGCCGGCGACCCTGCCCTCCGCCAGCGCGCGCACCAGCTCCGCCTCGTCGACGTTGGCGCCGCGCGCCACGTTCACGACCACGCCGCGCTCCCCCAGCGCGTCCAGCACGCCCCGGTCCACGATGCGCCGCGTCTCCGCCGTCAGCGCGCACGCCACGACGAGCACGTCGGAGCTCGCGGCGAGGTCGGTGGCGGTCGGGAAGTAGGCGTAGGCCACGTCCTCCCTTCGCCGGCGGTTGTGGTAGGAGACGACGCAGCCGAACGCCTCCAGTCTCCTCGCGATCGCCGACCCTATGCTGCCGAGGCCGATGATGCCGACGCGCCTCCCGCCGATCTTGGATCCGAGGGGGAGGAAATCGCCGCCGCGCTGCTCCGGACAGAGGCCGCGCCGGACGAAGCGGTCTCCGGCGGAGACGTGGCGGAGAACGTCGAGCAGGAGGCCGACAGCGTAGTCGGCGACGTCGGTGGAGTAGATCCCGCCGGCGTTGGCGACCTGCACGCCGCGGCGCGCGCACTCGCGGAGGTCGATGTGGTTGGTCCCGGCGCTGACGGTGATGATGCAGCGGAGGGAGGGGACGGCGTCGAGCAGCTCGGCGCCGACGGGGATGGGCCCGCCGCCGAAGACGAGGACGACGCGAGGTGGGTCGGCGTGGGCGGCCACGGCGGCGAGGAAGGCGTGGATGGGAAGCGCGGAGGCGTAGAAGTCGAGGAGGCGGAATCGGTGGGCGACGTCGGTGAAGGTGCCCGGGAACAGCCGGCACAGCAAGAGCACCGGCGGCGACGACATTTCTCTTTCTTTTTTTTTGGTGATTTGTTGCTTTCTTTTTGGGTGGTTTCGGGCATCGACCATGCCATTTGTTGCGATGCGATATGCGACATTTTTGCTGTAGCGATCATGACCTGATAACTGACATCCTTAAAAGAAAATGGAAATGTCCCTTAAACTGTTCAATTAAACTTTGAAGTCGGGTGTTCAATCGCCTTAGACACTGTAAGATGATGGTTTTGCGGAGTGTTTTTTTTTTCTGATTTACATATATATTGGATGAGTTTCATTCCGTGATATATAAATTGGACATATATGTTAAAATCTCTACCTAAATCTTTCATTTTGCTCCTAGTATGATATCACTATAGGATATAAATTGGTAATTAATCGATGATTGATAATACGTGAACATGCTATATTAGTTCTTCAAAACCACTTATTTAAGCTTGCAAATACCCTAAATCACTTTAGGGGGGTGTAGTGGTGGAGCTAGAATGATTTTTTTGAGCCCGAGCAAACTTCAATATAAATAATATTTGCTATAGATATTTAATCATCAATTTACTATTCAATATTAAAATTCAATGGAGTCTTTGCCGACAAGCCCGGGTGATTAGCCGGCTAGCTAGCGGAGCGGTAGCTCAACCACTGAGGGTTAGATGACTAGTTTTAAAGTTTATAGTGCTGGATAAAATTTATTAAGGTTGGGAACTACACCTCCCCTGCACGTAAAACAGAATTATCCATTAACACATGGTTAATTAAATACTCCCTCCGTATTTTAATGTATGACACCGTTGACTTCTTGACCAACGTTTAACCATTCGTTTTATTTAAAATTTTTGTGCAAATACAAAAATATTTATGTCATGCTTAAATATCATTTGATGATAAATCAAGCCATAATAAAATAAATGATAATTACATAAAGTTTTTAAATAAGACAAATGGTCAAACGTTGATAAAAAAGTCAACGGCGTCATACAGTAAAATATGAAGGGAGTATTAGCTAAAATAAATTTGGAAAAAATACTAATATAAATTTTTGAAACAACTATTCTATAGAAACCTTTCTTAAAAAGAAATACACCATTTAATAATTTGAAAAGTTTAACTGAGTTAGTATAAGTTTTGAAAGTCGGATGCTGAACTCAGTCTTAGCAGGTAGTATATGGATTTTTATCTAAAACAGAAAAAGAAATCAATTCCATTTTTAGGAGCATCTGCGATGACATCAGCCGTGGCCGCGCCGCCTGCCACCGGCGGCAAGCGACCGGTGCTTCTGCTGCGCCGCATCAACGACCGTCTCGCGGCGGAGCTTCGCTCGCGCTTCCGCGTCCTCAACTTCTACGAATCAAGCGCTCCCCTCCTCGCCTTCCTCGCCGCCGCCGCCGCGGGGCCCGACCCCCCGCTCGCCGCCGTCGTCGTCGCCGGCGGAGCCATCCAGGTCAACGCCGCGTTCCTTGACGCGGTGCCCTCCCTTGGCTGCGTCGTCACCACCGGCGCAGGCGTCGACCACATCGACCTCGCCGAGTGCGCGCGCCGCGGGGTCGCGGTGGCCGGCGCAGGCACGGTCTTCTCCACCGACGTGGCGGACCACGCCGTCGGTCTCCTCGTCGACGTGCTCCGGCGCATCTCGGCGTCCGACCGGTACGTCCGCCGCGGGCTCTGGGCGGCGCGTGGGGACTACCCGCTTGGATCCAAGGTTCGTTCTTGGTTTTGACTCACTGTATGTTACTGCTGTAAATTGTGATTAGGATATTGTTGTAATTGATGTCGAACTTAACAATTTTTGATTGTCATCAACTTTTTGGGTTAGTGTTCTTCTCCATTTTTGGAAGAACTGAAGGAATTTGGTTCTGCCTCATTTCATCATCGGAAAAAAAAATGGCGCTCTCTGTATCAAAAATGGTCGTGGATGGCAAAGTTCAAATGTTTGTAACTTGAAGTTACAGCTTAGTATTGCTTTATCAGTGCTACTATTTCCTAGTAATTGTCACACAATCTCTAACATCTGAACATTTTCTGCAAAATGTGAGTTCAGGATCTACTCATGCCTGACTGGGAAATGCCTATTTGTTCCCCAGAAGTTATAATTGGCATCCAAGAATTAGCACCATGTTGTGTTCTGGCCTATTCGTACATGCATTTTACAGTTCAATCTGAATATCTAACATCAGTTATGACAACATCAATATCTCAATGAAATTGACACAAAAAAATTATGCTGTTATCAGCTAAGTGGCAAGCATGTAGGTATCATCGGCTTGGGCAGCATTGGATCACTGATTGCAAAGAGGCTCCAAGCATTCGGCTGCACCATTTCCTACAACTCCAGGAGACCAAAGGATTCTGTCTCCTACAACTACTTCCCCGATGTCACCGACCTCGCCGCTGCATCCGACGTGCTCATCGTCGCGTGCGCGCTGAACGATGAGACGCGGCACATCGTCGACAGTAGTGTGCTAGAAGCCCTTGGAAAAGACGGCGTCGTTGTGAACATCGCTCGCGGCGGGATTGTTGATGAGGCAGAGCTGATCAGGGCACTGAAGGAAGGGAGAATTGCAGGTGCAGGGCTTGATGTGTTTGAGAAGGAGCCTGATGTGCCGGCAGAGCTCCTGTCCATGGACAATGTGGTGCTCACGGCGCATGAAGCTGTCTTCACCACTGAATCCAACTGGGACCTGGCCGACCTCATGATTGCAAACCTGGAGGCCTTCTTCTCCGGTGGCCCATTGCTTACTCCTGTACTTCCCAAGTAATTGGATATTCATAAATTGCATGGGTATTACTATTACAAGAGATCCATGAACTGAAGTTTAGTGCAGGATCTGTAAAAAATACTACTTGTACTTGTTCCTGCCGAAGGCAGCAAGTGATTGCTATTTGATCGGTGTTTGTTCCAGTTTGTAGATGAGTAATTGCAGTTTTCATCTTAATCTTATTGAGAATGCAGTTCATGGTACAGAATGTTTGTTTGAGAACCACGGAACAGTGTAAATGCACTTTCATCGAAAATGAGAACTTCAGTTTCATTTCTCAGAGTATATATCTGCTTTGCATAATGAGGAATTAAAACTGGACGTTGGAGTTCATACTAGAAACTCACATGGATTGATTTGAGCAAAATTATCACCATGGATTAGTATTAAGAGTAGTAGATCATACCAGGATGAAAAATGTTGGCAGGAGATGCAGTTAGGAACTGAGGTCAAAAGATTTTCTTGCAGCCAACTGCTCAGCTACAGAAGCCCATTAGGCCCATCACATGGGTCAGGTGAGACATGTAGAAGTCCAGGTATGATCGTGGGCCTTCCATATTGGCAAGGAATAAGTTCACTTTAGGTCTCTCATCTTGACGTCGAGTTCGAAACGCATCCTGAACCACAATACCAAAAATCTTCATCCTCCGAACTTGCAAAACCAGGTTAAATTAGATGTACTCACGCCGACTAGGCGCTTACATGGGAAAAAAACAAAAGTGGGTCCCACATGTCATCATTACTCTCCTCCCCTCTTCTCTCTCCCTCCTCTCTCTCTCCCCTTGCTCTCGGTCTTCCTCCTCTCTCTCTCTGTTTCTCCACTCTCTTCCCATTTCTCTCCTGGCTGGTGGACGGGAAGGGTGAATAGGCGGGTGAGCAGCGAGGAGAATGGTGGCGGGAGAAAGGGCAGCCGACAGGAGAGGGAAAGGTTTCGGCCAGCGTCACCGAGCTCGAGCGATGGGAGAGAAGAGGGACGCCACTGAGCTGTGAGTGAGGTCGAGTAATCACCGACTGCGGCCAAGAGAGAGGGAAAGGTCGTGCCTCATCAATGGTCAGCGGAGGCAGCGGCAGCGGCAACTACGGGAAGAGGAGAGAAGGGGAAGGACAAGGCGTGGCCGATCGCATTGGGTGGGAGAGGGGAGAAGGAGAAGGAGCATCGTCAGCCGCATCTGGAGGCGATGGCTGCTGCTCAATCTCCATTAAGCTCCTCCATAGATGGCGCCAGCTCCTAGTAGACCCCTCCCAATCCAGGCGACAGCGACGGGGCTCTTCCAGGTCGATCGGCACCGCGATGGAAGACAGAGGAGAAATGGCAGCAAACGAGGCAGGCACCGCCGTAGGTGACAGTGTGTTGCTGGCCGAGGAGGGGTCAAGGAAGAGGACGATGGCGGCGGAAGCCGGAGAGGAGTATGATGATGACGGCGACCTAGGGACATTTGGCGATGGTGCCAACGCACCGTCTTCCTTGCCATCGAGGACATTGTCTCTCTCTCTCTACTGGGAGAGATGGAGAGAAAACGGAAGAGAGAAAGAGGAGAGAGAAAAGGGAAGAAGAGTGAGGACGAAATATGATGAAATATGGGGTCCACTTTTGTTTTTGCCATGTCAGCGAAACCACCCATCTTTACTGTCAGAGGACCTAATTTAGCCCAGTTTTGTAAGTTGAGAGTCAAGATTTCTAGTATTATGGTTTAGGGACATGATTCAAACTCGATGTCAAGATAAGATATCTAAAGATAACTTTTTTCCTAATGGCAAAGATAGTGTGGATCCTCGCCCTCTTGGGCTCTGTTTAGTGTGGGCTTTCAATTTATTTTCTCTCTTTCCCACCTCAAGAAAAAATAGAGTTAGACCTGGGGCTGGATAAAGGTTGCTATCGCGAGATATTTATTTTATCCAAAATTTAGGCTAAGCCTATATTACTATATTATATCACTTTATTTTTTAGAACAGTCTAAGAGTTTAAATCATGTCAAACAAGACCAAAGAGAATAAAAATAAAGTATGTTGTTATGTTCAAGGCAAGAAGCGCTTATAGTACCTCACTAAAGCACTGCCAGCACCAGTGTCTCCTTTGTAATGTTACAAATGTGGTATTATATAGTTAACTATATAAGACCACATTTGGAAAAGGAGAAAAATTCTTGGAGCAATGTCATATGATTTGAATCCTATGGAAATTTTGCTGTATAAATGATCCATTGAAACAAACGAATTGAACATCCATTAAATCCTATCCAATGCCTTAACCCATGGGAGTTTGAGAAGAAATTTAACAGATACAACCTCATAGGAACTATAGTTCGAGCTTTTATCTCTTTTCAAATTCCTTTGTTTTTTTTTTCTCCATCTAAACTGTCGTTGTTGTATTTTTTAAATATGTTTGACATTTCTCTATTTTCTCATCCTATCTTACTAGAAAGTTATAACCCACTAATTTTAAAGCTTAACATGCAAACATACTACATCATCATCCACTAGCAATAATTACATATAAAACTTATGTAAGCATGCATCATCATATATAATTCATTGAATTCTACGAATCAACATCCAATCATCTTCCTTTATATTATTTTTCACAATATTTTTAACATATATATCCATCATTTTTATAATACTTAACATCTATTCATCCATATAATCAAAGTGTGGGATATCATATTTCATCTAGAGTCTCATGCAGAGTCTACTAAATCTATTTCTCTCTTAACATAGTGTGACAAATCAGTTTTATTTTTTATTAATAAATAATATATTTTTTTACTTTTAGCTTAATTATTAAAAAAATATTAAAATTTACTTAGTAATTTTCGCAGCAAAGCGCGAAGAATCACTGGTTGTTTTAGATTGAAGGCCATAGGCCCTGCTTTTACTGAAAGCAATAGAGTCTGATACACGAAACGTCATACTCTGGGGATGCCAGCTTTACAAAGCAAGGAGCAAGAGCTACTGAAAGGACTCATTACAGAGACCAGAAACAGGCTCGAAACAGATTACAGAAAAAAAAAAAAGGTCATCCAACGCCAGTGCGAGTTGGGGACAGGGACTTGATAGTCATCAAGATTTGTCTCTGCCAGCTTCAGCGCATCTCCACCTTCTCTCTTCTTCTCCAGCTTACACCACCGTTGAATATAGAAAATAACACGAAAGATAATGGTTAGAGGAGTTGACAAAATTTTTTTCCCTAAACACCATATCATTTCGAGCTAGTCACAATGCCCAGGATCAAAATTTTTTCACCATTCTTTTGTCATTGTGTTCCTATCGAAATATTTTGTTTTTCTTATTCATGTGCTTCCGCATTCCCCTGTGGTCCAAATTAAGGGGCCATAAATGAGCATTCCCTAGCTAGCAGTGTCCCAATATAATCCAACGTACAAGCTGGTAATAACAATAATGCAAAGGAATACTCCCTCTGACCCAAAAAAAAAAGACAAACCCTGGTTTCCGTGTCCAACGTTTGACCGTTCGTCTTATTTAAAAAAATTATAAAAAAAATTAAAAAGATAAGTCATGTATAAAGTATTAATCATATTTTATCATCTAACAACAATGAAAATACTAATTATAAAAAATTTTCATATAAGACGGACAGTCAAACGTTGACACGGGAACCCATGGTTTGTCTTTTTTTGGGACGGAGGGAGAGTCGTTCAGTACGACCATTTCATTCAATTGGACAAGCAGCATATGGTACACTAGACGTCGTCCTTTATTTTGTTTTTGTTTGGCTTCCCTTGCTGCATGCGTTGCTAATGCTAGCTGCTGCCCGTGTCTCCTCGTGTTTTCTAGATACGTACTGTACTACTCTACTCTACTCCAGAGTACATGTTGTTGGTTAATTGTTGGTTAATTGGAGTCGCTAGGTTTCGAATTTCAAAAAAGTACGGTCGTCGATGGATCTGAGATATATGCATGGCGAAACAAAGCATGGTACGATCGAGTTCCAGAGATGGTACGTGCAGTGTATGGATCTGGAATCTTATTATTTCTTCTCTGCAGATCACCGGCTGATAGGGCCCCAGTTTGCCGGCTACGACCATTGCATAATTCAGATCGTGAAACCGTGCATTTGAATGTAGTTAGCACTACTAGTACTGCTACTACTACGTGCATTTCTGGATGCATGAAGGACATCTATAGATTCAATTATTCATTATTTTTGTGTTTTATTATGATTATTATATGAAAGACGAATGCCTACACTCACGTACTCATGTGTACGCAATATTTATAGGTAGTAGGATTTAAAAATTATGTTATTGATCATTGTTGGTTTAGTAATAGTATATATCTAGGGTTGTCAATAAGATGAGCTCGAGAGACCTCCCCTTTCCTAGCTCAAGCTTGGCAAGCGCAAGCCAAACCAAGCTTATTCCACCTACGAACTTTTAAGCAAGCTCAATTTGAGCTCAACTAAGTTTTAGCTCAGACATAGTAGTATAACATATACTTTATTGATAATATCCTAGTAACTAAAACTATTTTTCTGGTTAATCACACTAATGAAAGAGTAAAAGAAAAAAAAAGACTACGATATGTATATGCTGCTAACATGTTCTAACTTATTGTATAGACAGATACAAATGTATATTTATCTATTGGTTTATCAAACTAACAAGATGAATAAACAATAAAAGTTAATATATATAGTCAAGCTTAGTAAGTAAAGCTCGCAAGCTTTAGCTCAAGGTTGGGCTTGGCTCGTTTGGAGCTTAAGCCAAGCTCGAATAGAGCCGAGGACGAGCCTAAGCTAGAACTGATTGCGACCCTCAAGATTTTTTAACATTCTAATAGTATTATTATTGGTTAAAAAAACTAACAACAATAATTGTTATGTTTTTATAAACCGACAATAATGCATTTGAACCGATAAAAGGCGGTAGGCCTAGAAGGCGTCCACTCCCTTCTCGACTTCTTTGGAGCACGAATCACGAAACAAATGTTAAGGTAAAAAAGTTTATAAGAAAATTTTTTTTGCGAGGAAGTTTATGAATTTTGATCTCATTTTTTCGTTAACAGCCATTTAACAATTCCGCTACAAATATATAGTATTGCCTTATGTAGTCTCTTGCTGCGAGTCTCGTTCCGGACGGAAATTAGCCCGAAACAAATTAATCAGCATCGCCATGCGCGAACGTACGGCTAACGATGTAGAAGTGGGCGCGTTTATAAGCAGAAGAGAGAGGAGCCCATGGCC